TTTTTCAGCTGACAGCAGAATCTTGGGGAGGGAACTGCATCTTACAGAAGACCTGCAGGCAATCTGACACACAGGCATGACCTCCCATATGTGGGAGAAAAAGGGATCAGTTCCCCAAAATGGGTTGTCCTAAGGGGAAGGAACAGTGGTAGGGAAGGTGGGTGAAAGGAAGGATTCAGTGGGCAGGAACTCAGGCTAAGAAGCACCCATGTGCCCAGAGATGTCACAGACATCTCAGGAAGGGCACTGGACTTCCAGAAGATCAAGAGAGTGAGGCAGCCACCAAGTTCCTCTATATCTTGAGGCCTGAGTGGCCTCAGCTGACATCTGAATAAGATTTGTTACACAAAAGAGCTGGTGTCCAGAAAGCAACAGTCTCAAACAAGGCTTTCAAACATAGAAGGATTTTTAAAGTAGCTTCAGAGAAATTCTTTCACAATTAAAATGAATCAGCTAAAGCTCAGACACACATATTCACCCCATATATAAAAGCTGATATATAATGCATTTCTAGTATGACACTGTGCTATCACTTTGTTGTCGTTAGCTGGTGTCAAGTTGGCCCTCTACTCAGAGTGACCCCATGCCCAACGGGATCAGAGTGCTGTGATCCATAGGATTTTTACTGACTGATTTTCAGATGTAGACTGCCAGGCCTTTCTTCCTAGTCTATCTTAGTCTGGAAGCTCTTCTGACACCTGGTCAGTGTCATATAAATGTGCAAGCCTCCACTGATGGACAAGCGGTGGCTGCACATGAAGTGCACTGGCTGAGAATCAATCCAGGTCTCCCACATAGAAGGCAAGAATCCTACCACTGAAACACCAATGTCTGCACTGTCATTTACATATATGTATTTACATATAAATACATGTTGTTGTTGTTGTTATGTGCCGTCGAGCCGGACTGACTCATAGCGACCTTGGGTTTCTGAGGCAGTATCACTACAGAAGTAGATTGCCCAACCTTCCTTCCGAGGAGTGGCTGGTGGGTTTGAACCGCCAGCCTTCTGGTTAGCAGTCAAATGCCTTAGGCACTACGCTACCAGAGCTCCCATATAAATACATGTAAACTTTAAAACAAGTCCTTGGGGTAGCTGCTTCAACACTCTCCCAGTGTGCCCACCTCACTCAGGTAAATGTCAAATTCCTCACTGCAGTCCTCCTATTGCCTCCCTACTCTTACCTCTTCCCATCCTCCCCTTTGCTTACTGGGTTCCGGTCATACGGGCCTCTCTGAACTTGCTTAAACATATCAAGTAAATTCCTGATTCCTGGTCTTTGTATTTGCTGTTCCCTTTGCCAGAAACATTCTTCCAACAGAGAACTGCACAGCTCTCTTTTCACCTTCTTTGGTTCATCAAATCCAAAACTGCAACCCTCTGGTGGTACAGTGGATAAGGTATTTGGCTGCTAACCAGGTTAGTGGTTCAAACCAACCAGTTGCTCCTCAGGAAGAAGATGAGCCAATCTACTTCCATAAAGATTTACAGCCTTGGAAACTCAATGGGGGTCACTAGGAATCGGAATTGACTCAATGGCAGTGGGTACCACCATCTAACTGCTGTATATTTGATTTATTCATCCTTTTTGTCTACTTGCACTACAGGTCAGGGATTTGTTTTGCTCACTGCCATGTCTTCAGTGCCTGGCACACAATAGGTATTCAGGAAATATTTTTTGCATAAGAGAGTCCACATTGAAAGAAGAAATTGAGGCAGGGAAGAAATTGGCCAATACTTGCCCAAGGTCTACAATCAGTGGCAGAAGCTAGATTCCAACCTAGGTAATCCAGTTGGAGGAGGGAGGAGCATTCCTAACCACTGCTGCTACTTCTACCATTTAAAGATCCTTTTTTCGCACACGCATAAAGGCACATGTGTGCACCAAGGTGCATACCCCTCACAGAGCACCCTGTACACTCAGGTCTACCCCCAACACCTAGAATCCTGGCCCCCAGACTCCAGTCCTCACCTCCCCAAAACCCCAGGCTCCAGCCCCCACATACAGGAACTTGCCGTCCGTCTGAGCTCCCGAATAGAGCTTGCGCTCGGCCTCTTCGCGAGTCAGACTGTTGTGGTACCAGGGCATCCGTTCGTGAGCCGTCGTGGCGATGAGCTTCTCCACCTGGGGGGCTTGGCTGATGATGGCCTGCTCCAGCGCCTCGCCCTAGAGAGGGTGGGAGGATTTGGGGTGTGCCCAAGTGTGCAGCCACAGGAACCCCTTTCCATCTCCTAGACCCTCCCTCCCAATTACCGTGTCCCCATGAGACTCTCCCCCACCCAAGCCAAGCCTCACCCCGTCCTGGTAATGCACGCCCCTCTACCTTCCAGTGCAGCTTTGTAGAGCACTATAGCACCGCTCCCACGGTGGAAGACGAAACCCACCACCACCATCACGGAGCCCTGCCTCCAAGGTCTCCTCCTAGATGCTGCCCCCAACCAGGGCCTCATTCCTTCAGGTTACTAGCTGCGAGCGCTTTAGAATCGCTCAGGCTGGCGAAGACGGTCCCCTCTCCTACCCATTCCAAAGCTTCATCTGTCCCTGCGGTCCCTGCTCGGTACGGGCCCCGCCCCTCACCGCTCCCGAGATCTCACCTCCAGCTTCCACGTTTGGCGTACGTAGTCGCGCACCATGGCGTCGCGAAGAGAATCGAAGACTCCGGGCTGTGGTTCGAGGCCTGGCGGCCGATTGCACGGTTTGCGCAGGTTGCATGGCAGCCCATCGGGGTCACGCGAGTAGAACTCACAGAGCTCTGCAGGGCCGCAGTGAGCCTTGCCGCCAGCGATGGCGTAGGTGCCGTTGAGCTGGCGCTCGATGGGGAAGTGGTGGAAGCGCACGTCGTGCACGAGAGAGAGCACATAGCCGCCCAGCGAGCGCAGGCACTGGCGCAACAGGAAGAGACCGTCGGCCATGCCCGCCAACTTCAGGTGGTCCTCGGCCTCGGCGCGCGAGATGCTGCCGTAGAAGAAGGGCAGGTGCGCCGCAGGGTCGGACATCGCCGCCACAGCCCCGCACAGGTTGCGCGCCCCTGCGTCTCGCCAGACCCTGCGGGTTCAGAGGTGCATTTGAGATGCCTCGGGGCCGCAGCTCCCCTACATGAACCCCATCCGTTGGGCCCAGAGATTGCATGATCTGTGCCCCCAAGCTAGCGTGCCGATTGTGGTGAGCATGTTTTGCGCCAATCCACTTGTAGACGGGCCCCAGGTTTCTTTGCTCCTATTGGGAAGTCCATACCCACCTCTGACTTTTCAGAGATACTGCGCTGAGCGCTCAGACACCTCTACTGGTCCCCACGCACCAGTACCCACAACCATTAGTTCATTTCACAAACATTTGTTGGATTCCTACTGCGTTTCAGACTTGTAACTGGGAATATGGGTGCATAAGGCAGGCAGGGATGGGAACTCTGGTGGTGTAGTGCCTAAGGCATTTGACTGTTAGCTAGAAGGCTGGAGGTTCAGACCCACCAGCCACTCCTGGGAAGGAAGATTGGGCTATCTACTTCCATAAGAGATACCGCCTCAGAAACCCAAGGATGGGTCGCTATTAGTCAGAAACGACTCAGCGGTGGTGTGTTTTGTTTTGTTTTGTTTTAAAAGCAGGCATGACTTCTGTCCCCTGAAGATAACACTCCAAGAAAAGTGATGGGATATGAAAAACAAGGAGAGAGACAGAAAATAATAATTACAGGTTGAGGTAATTATTATAAAGAAAATAGAGTAATATTTATCAAGAGGCTGCTTTTGCTGGAATGGCTTCTGAGCTGAGATCTGAAGGATAGGAGCCAACTTTTCAAAAGGCCTAGAGCACATCAAGAGAAGGAACGGGGAGTGCAAAGACTGACGCTAGAACAGCTTTGTTCACCAGAGAAACCTTCCCCCATCAGCCTTCCACTCTCCCTGTACACTAACTCTTTCCATTCAGGCTTAGAAATCCCTCCTTTTCTGAAAATCCTTTCCTTCCCCCGCCTCTCTGCCTTCATGGACAAGTTTCTAGACAGTATAAGTGACTCTGAATATCCATCCATAGGGGAGTGGTTAAATATAGTGAGATTTCATTCCAACACAAACCTTCATGCAGCCAGCCATTAAACAAAATGAGTTGCAAGACCAAACTTACTGGTAGAAGAAAAATAGAAAATATGATTCTATTTGGGGAGAGAAAATTAAGAATATTTAGATAGATTGTAAGACAGATAAAATTGTCTATTCTTAACTTTCTGGGTGTCATAAAAAAAAAGCATAAAAATACTGAATCCTAGTTAATGATCTGCATGAAGAAATGTTTAAGGATGATGGGTACTGCATTTTCTTTGAAATAGATCCAAAAATAACAGACTGATGGATGCATAGAGAAGATGGATGGATAGATAGGTGAGTGGGTGGATTGGATGGATAGATGGATGGACAGGTAGATAGATGATAAAGGAAATATTGCAAAATGTTAATTGTAGGATCTAAGGAGGGTGGAAGGAGCTCTGGTGGTACAGTGGTTAAGGCATTCGGCTGCTAAACAAAAGGTTGGCCGTGTGAACCCACCAGCCACTCCACAGGACATAGATGAGGACATGACAGCTTTAGATATCCTGTGGGGCAGTTCTACCACGTTCTTTGTGGTCACTGTGAGTAGTAATCGACTTGATGGCACTAAGGTTGGTTTTTAACAAAGAGGGGGGATAGGAGTAAGTAGTATACAATTCTTTTCACTTTTCTGTATGTGTTAAAGTCTTTATAAGGTGAAAAAAAAAAAAAGTCTCCCCTCCATAGCCCTTTCTCTGTTAAGGTGTAGCCCAGCTGGGAAGCCCTTCTTAGTTATACAAATGGAAGCAGGGGGTGTAATGAAACTTCTATAGATTGCAAAAGTATGAGGCTTAGAAGAGTGAGAACCCAATGAGCTCTGGGTTAGGGCCACCAGAGGAGGGGCCAGAATCTGCTTTCCATATTGCTTCTGATGCTGAGGTTGGCAGAGCTCGGCTTGAGGGGGACCCTGATGTCCAAAAAATACAGGCAAATGGGAGTTCCAGTGATTAGTAAGGGACTGCATTTGTATCCCCACCTGGGCAAGTAGGACACAATCCCATGAGAGCATTTATAGATACATTAAAAAGTCGGGAGAGATCCTAAGTATTCACCCCTAGAGAAATGAAAACTTACATTCACACAAAAACTTGCACAGAAACAGTTCCATAATTGCCAAAAATTGGAGACACACAAATGTTTCTCAAGAGATGAACAGACAAACTGGTACATTCATACAATAAAATGGAAGGAAATACAGATGCATACAACATAGATGAATCTCACAGGCATTATACTAATGAAAGAAGCCAAACCCAACCAAGCTATATGATTCCATTCAAAACTGTAGCAATGGAGGACATACCAGTGGTTGTCAGGGCCTGGGAGGAGGAAGGATTGACTACAAAGGGGCATGAGGGACTTTTAGGGAATAGTCTAGATTTTGATTGAGTTGGACTTTCTGTATGCATTTGTCAAGTGGCATTAGGTGTGGTCGAGTTGGGTTCCAACTCATATTGACCTGTGTACAACAGAACAAAACACTGCCCAGTCTTGCATCATCCTCACAGTCACTGCTGGATTTGAGCCCACTGTTGCAGCCACTTTGTCAATCCATCTTAAAATTGTTTTAATTGAAGGGGAAAAGAGCCAAGAAGTATAGGCATACCGTGAACTAAAAATCATAACCAAAATAGGAAAGACAGGGCTGTCTGTTCCCTGTTTCCTTGACTCCTGTCATCTCATCCAGATTGAAAGTCTGTCCCCTACCCCCCAGGCTGCCCTCTCCCTGGTGTGGAGCACTTACAGCACTGGCAGCACATAGCCCAGGTGAGTGGTTAGTTCCTTCGTCCGTGCTAAGGCCCTTGAGCGGTGGCCACCAGTGGCCCCTCCTTCCTGCTTTGAGCAGCACAGTGCTCTTGGGTCCTTGACCAACTCCCTGACTTGCCTCTCCCTGTCTGACCAGTCCTGCTCTCTCTCTTTCCATAGCCCTTCCTCCCTTATTTGGGCCATCCCACCTGTGCTCTGTTGGTGTAGTGGTTAAGGCATTTGGTTGCTAACCAAAAGGTCAGTGGTTCAAACCCACCAGCTGCTCTGCAGGAGAAAGATGAGGCAGTCTGCTTCTGTAAAGATTTGCAGCCTTGGAAACCCAATGAGGGTCTCTTTGAATTGGAATTGACTGGATGGCAGTGAGTTTGGTTTTTTGGTATCTGTGGCTGTATATGCCACGCCCATCTCTATATCTACCCCAGCTCTCTCTCCTGAGGTCAAGTTTGTACTGGCATCACCTTTGATCTCTACAAACTGTTTCTATTAATACAACCTGAGATCCAGATCTAACTCACACTGAGCCTGTGGTTGACTGAACCCCTCAGTATGTTTCTCACATAAGCTGAGCTCCAGAGACTGGAGATGCTTCTAAGTAATTCTTCCTCAAGGCCTCCCTTGCTCAAGGATCTAACTGTGGCTCCCTCCTGCTTACCTCATTGAATCTAAACTCCTCAGCCTTCTGCTGCAGCCAGACTGTGCTATTTGCCTTCCTTCAAATTCACAGCCATACTCTTATCTATGAAGTGCCCTCTACCAAGTGCACCCTCGCCATTCATCTTCCCAAATCCAGCCAGTCCTGCCTCATAGACTCCTAGAGCTGCTCCTCCACAGAGAAGCAGTATGCATAGGACAAGGCAGCAAGGGGGGACTTGTCCAGGGGCAATGCTAAGGGTTGGGGGGAGCTAAGCTGGTCTCTGGGACAGGAAGCTGTGGTAGGAAACTGTCGGCAACACAGTTTGAGAAGCTCCTCCCCGTGGTGGCCACAGGTGCAGCCTGGGTAGTTATAGATGGGTAAGGGCAGAAGTTGGGGGTGGGGTAGGGTAGGGTGAGGACTGGCACTCAGGGCTAGTCAAGGGCCACAAGCCATGACTAACCACGTTGGACATGAGGCCAAAGTGTCCCAGAGGCAGATGCATCTCCTGTGCCTTCTATTCCAGCCCCAGCTTCTCTGTCTCCCCGCTGATAACAGTAATAATCACCACTCATTGCCTGGCAGGCAGGCCTGGAGAGCCAGTCCTAAGCCTACCTCCCTGCACCTTTCTGTACTGTTCTCATGAGCACAACATGGGAAAGAGGCCTGGGTTGACCACGTCCTGGGGGTCCCATCACAAGAAATGCTGGGGAGATGAGAAGGGGTGGACTGAAAGAAAATGAAAAGCAGAGACCAAGAAGTTGGAGCTGCTAGAGCTGCTACTGAATGGGGCTGGCAGAGGGCTGGCAACTGGACCAAGGGGAAGCCAGGCCAGTATGAAATGTTTACTTTTGCCAGTGTGACCCTAGACTTCGGTCCAAGAGGTAGATGTTTCTGTCCTGAGCTGTGTGCAGCAGCCTCCATGGCCTGGCCAGAAGACATACCCATCATGAGATGCCCCAACCCCAGTCTTGCCTGGGCTGTCCCAGGGAGCTTTATCCAAGGGCAGAGGCAGTCCTTGCATTTAGGAGTCCTGCCTCTCAGTCCACACTTAGCTGTTCATTCCAACAGCCCAGCCGCCAGTGCTGCCAGAGTGCAGCCCATCCAAGCCTCCTCTTGAGCTGACCCTTCCGTGCAGCCCTGTTGGGTGACCCCGGAGAGCCATGGGTCACCAGCGTTGTTCTCACAGCCCAGGCCCTCGATGAGGAAGAGGAAGCCCTTGAACCTTGACCAGAAATTCTTCCTGGGTAAAGACAGTGTTTCCTTATGTCTGTCCAGAGATGATCAATACTCTAAAAATAACTTCCAAGGAAAAAGTGTCAAGTGGCCAAATATATTTTAAAATATTGTGCAAAGTATATTAGCATAGCAGGGGCTGTGAGAAGACCTTCATCAAAAGACCCTATTTTGTGGTGTTTAATTCCCACATTTATTTCTCAGCGCTTTTAAGGTCTACTGTTCTATGGAACATACTCTGAACATCAAAATTCCCAATTAAATGACCATCACTCAGAGGAGA